GCAACCACTGGCAATCAATATGGAGGTACCTCAAAGAACTAGGATTAGAGGTCCCATTTGACCCAGCTATCCCTCTGCTGGGTATCTTCCCAAAAGAATTAAAATAATCATACCACAGTGATATATGTGCACCCATGTTTATAGCGGCACAGTTTGTAATAGCTAAAACTTGGAAACAGCCCAATTGCCCATCAACTGGAGACTGGATAAAGAAGAGGTGGCTTTTTTAAAATAAAATGGAGTACTACTCAGTCATAAGGAATGAGAAACTAGAGACATCTATAGATAAGTGGATGGATGCACATTGAGGCCATACTCTTAAGTGAAATTAAGAAGTCACACATCCGTAAATACCGGATAGTTTCTCTGGTGTGAAAAACTAAAAGTGTAAATAAGGATCAAAATGTATAATTGATATTGTGTAATAGGAAAAAAAAGGTCTAAAAGAGTAGAGGAAATGGGAGGGGGAGGGAAAAGGTAAAAAGGGAAAAGAAAAAATATGAGAAAAGGAAAAACATGGAAACAATGTCTCTGTAAACAGGGAAGAGTGGAGGGGATGAAGGGAGGTCAGGGGAATGGGGAAAAAATAAGAACCAAGATACATCAGGTAAAGGTACCAGATCCCAATGATGAGTGTAACTGTGCTATATACCTAAACAGTACCAATAAACTCAATGAGAAAAAAAAAGCTTCACTGCATCTGAGTGATTAAGGGTTAAGACTTTCTCTAAGCCAAGGAAGTGTAGTAATTGGTGGAAATGATGACATAGATTCTGTGAATTCCATAGATGCTGTGTGCTACAGGAAAGCCACATCAAGTTTTGAATTGTCCTCAATATCATCAGTGAGTAAACTGCCATTATGCAATATTTCTATCACTTCAGTGATAATCTCAGTGTGAAAGGCCTAGTTTCAATTTCAATACTGGGGGAAATTTTGTCTAACCTGTAGTTTGTCTTCTGGAACTTTCAGTCAATGATTAAATGCCTGTGAAAGTTTCATTCTCACTTGCTTACCTAGTAACTGAAGTTAAATAGCTGTAGAGTTCTAGAAGACTTCGTTGGACATTTTCTTTCATCTTCTCCATTGTTTTCAAATTTAAAATCTGATAGTTACTCGGTGATCTCACAACGTCACACTTGCAGCCCTGCCAGAAGTATCCAGCATCAACTTCGCTCTTCGTAGTTCAGATCAAGGCTCCTCTTCCTGCTTTACCATATAAGTCCCCCCGCCCAGCCTCTAGCGACACCACGTGACTTGTTCCAAGAAAATATCTTGTGTTTTATAATTACTTTTTCTACTTTAAACTAAATATGCTTGAGGGCCAGGGATTTAGCTCAGTGGTGCAGCCGCCTGCCTCACAAGCACAAGGTCCCAAGTTCAACCCCTGGTACCAAAAATAAAAATTAAAAAATAAACTAACTATGCAGGTGCAACCACTATGGAAGTCAATATGGAGATACCTCAAAGAACTGCGATTAGAGGTTCCATTTGACCCAGCCATCCCTCTGTTGGGTATCTTTCCCAAAGAAGTGAAAGTGTCATACCACAGTGATATATGTGCACCAATGTTTATAGCTGCACAGTTTGTAGTAGCTAAAACTTGGAAACAGCCCATTTGCTCCTCAGTTGGAGACTGGATAAAGAAGATGTGGTTTTTCTATAAAATGGAATATTACTCAGCCATAAAGAATGAGAAAGTAGGCTGTCGAGTTTTTGGAGTGCCGGGAACGAGAGTGTGGCTATGCCTCATCGTTCCCTTTCACGCCTGGCCCCCGGCTACAACATTCAAAGCCCCCACAGAGGTTGAGCCAGGCCCAGAAACACAGCAGTGGGAGCAGCAATACCAGCACTGCAAACAGATCTACACACAACGAGCTGGAAAAGCATCGGCGAGCTCATCTGCGCCTATGTTTAGAACGCTTAAAAGTTTTGATTCCACTACGACAAGATGGCACCAGGCACACAAGGCTTGGTTTGCTCAACAAAGCCAAAGCACATATCAAGAAACTTGAAGAAGCTGAAAGAAAGAGCCAGCACCAGCTTGAGAACTTGGAACGAGAACAGAGATTTTTAAAGCGACGACTAGAACAGCTGCAGGGTCCTCAAGAAATGGAGTGAATACGAATGGACAGCATTGGATCGACTATTTCTTCAGATCGTTCTGATTCAGAGCGAGAGGAGATTGAAATGGATGTTGAAAGCACACAGTTCTCCCATGGAGAAGTGGACAATATAAGCACCACCAGCATCAGTGATGTTGATGACCACAGCAGCCTGCAGAGCATTGGGAGTGATGAGGGTTACTCCAGTGCCAGTGTCAAACTTTCGTTCACTTCCTAGAACCCAGCATGACACAACAGTGCAGGGAAAAATATACACTGGGCCAATATAATACAGTCGCTTAAACTGGGTTCATGTTGCAATCTCCTCTTTAAAGCTAAACAAAACTGTACTTGAACAAAAAGTCAGAAGACCTGTATTTACGCAAATACTTAGCAAAAAGTGGGGGTAGAGCCTCCCCAGCTGGACAAATGTTCATACTGAAAAAAAATTAATTCTTAATGGCATCAGCAAACATGTGAAATTACCTTGATCTGATTTAGTTGGTTTAAAAGAGGACATTGGAGAGTCCATCCTTTCTCTAGTTTGCTCATACTACATTGAGTAGACACATTAAAAGATGGGGTTGTGAACCCTTCCTGAGCTTTATGGCCCTAGAAACAAAATCGGAACTACAGTGAGGAAGACAAGATAATCAGGCGGTAATTATCTAGTAATTATCTACTAGAAACTGTAGACATAACTTCTAGGATTTATTATTTGAGCCTCTGGCCAACTCAGCCTTCCTGGGCCACAGTTCCATCATCTGGAAAATGGATTGAAAACTCTGCACATCTAATCCCTATGTGATGACATACATGTGTCATCCTGGAGTGGCTGCTACAGGAGGATAACTTGAAGCTAGCACAGGCAATACAGGAAGATCCTGTCTCTTTCCCATGCCTATTATTCATTCCTTCATTCTACAGTACTGTACTGGGACTGAACCCAGGGCCTTCATCCTGAAGAGGAGGTATTCTTTCCTTTTTCCTTTTTCCTTTTTTATTTTTTTGGAGACAGTCTCACAGTGTAGTCCAGGCTGACCTTGAACTTCCTAGGTAGCCCAGGCTAGCCTTGAATTCACGACAATCCTCCTGCCTCAGACTCCCAGAGTGAATATATTCTTTGAGAGGAGAGCCTTTAGGACATGGGGACACTGAGGTGTATGTCTTCTGAGAAAAGGAGAGGAGAATGACAGGACTCCTCTTGTCTCACCTGAAATGATGGGGCTTCATGAGAGTCCTGGGGTTGCAAGTGTATGTCACCATGCTTGGCTCCCTTAAACATTTTAAGAGTCCCCAGGACTCTGGGAGATTGAGGCAGAAGGATCAAAACTTTGAGCCCAACCTGGGAAATTTAGTGAAACCCTGCCACAAAAAATTAAAAAGAAGGCCAGGGATTTAGCTCAGTGGTTCCGCCGCCTGCCTCACAAGCACAAACACCCAAGTTTGATCCCTGGTACCAAAAAATAAAACTTTTAAAGAGCTGGGGATGTAGGTCAGGGTAGGCTTCAATCCCCAGTACCAGCAAAAAAAGATATATATAGAAATAATGCATAATATTTCTACCATGCTTAAATCTAAAGTTATTTCTAAATAAAAACTTTAAAATTTTGTTATAATTAAGATTCCAGGACTTAGGCTGGGAATCTAGCTCAGTGGCACCGCGCCTGCCTTGCAAGCACAAGGTCCTGAGTTCCATGCCTGGTAAAAAATTAAAAAACAAATAAATAAATAAATTCCAGGACCCATCTCTAGCCACGAGAAACATGACCATGATCTTAGTCAAACAGTGGTCTTCCCGTTTCAAAGACCATTCTCTGAACCACTGAACTATTCTACTTTCCAAAGCATTGGGGCCATGTCCCCATTTTACTTAATTTTACTTATAGCTTCGCATTTAAAGGCTCTAGCATATTCCTTCCATCCAAAGTGTGTGCTATTAAAATTCACTTATCCCATCCCCTTTTGTTGATCATTTAAGAAGTACTGAAGCTGGGAGTGGCAGCACACACCTGTAATCCCAGTACTAGGGAGTGTGAGGCAGGAGGGTTGGCCATGAGTTTGAAGCCAGCAGTGAGTTCAAGGCCAGCCTGAACTACGTAACAAGACCCTGTCTCAAAAAACAAAAACAAAAAAAGCTTCAAGCTTTTGGCACAAGAAATAATACAACGATGAATCTTTGTAAAAAGAGTTGCACAAATTTCCTTGGGATGATTTTATAGCAGAATTATAGTATTGTTACTCTTGATTGTTTAAGTATCTTTCTTCTGCCCTTTCACCTTAGTAAATTCCCCTCCTTTGTTCTCATCCTCTCTCTCTCTCTCTCTCTCTCTCTCTCTCTCTCTCTCTCTCTCTCTCAAGCGATTGAACTCTGGCCCTTGTGCTTTCAAGATAGGCGGCAGAACCACTGAGCCAAATCCCTGGCCCTCTCCCTCCATCTCTTGCTCCTCTTACCACCTGCAAAATATCTATCTCCCTGTTTCCTAATATCTATTTTTGTTTTGCTCTTTATTTATTTTTTGATACGGGGATTGAACTAGGGACCTGCGCTTGCGAGGCAGGTGTCAGAACCACTAAGCTAAATCCCCGGCCCTTGCTCCTTATTTATAGTTTGGTATCTCATATAAGAGAAACCATGCAATAGTTAAACTTGTCTGTCTGATATATTTCACGTAACATTAGGGTCTCAAGGTGCATCCATTTTCCTACAAAAATGGTGGCGTAGAGCCAGAGATTTAGCTCAGTGGCACCACACCTGCCTCGCAAGTGCAAGGTCCTGAGTTCCATCCCTTGTACAAAAAAAAAAAAAAAAAAAAAAGTGGCGCATGCCTGTAATACAGCACTTGCAAGACTCAAGCAGGAGGATTGCTGTGTGTTCAAGGACTGCCCGGGCTACAGAGTGACTTCAAGACCAGCCTGTACTACATAGGGAAACTCTGACAAACCCTATCTCAAAACAATTTATTTTTCTTAATAGCAGAGTAGTAAGTACTCTATTGTTTTTGTGGGTTTTTTTGTTTTGTTTTGTTTGTTTATTTTTTGAGAAAGAGTCTCGATATGTAGTTCAGGCTGGCCTCAAACTCGCAGCAAACCTCCTGCCTCAGCTTCCCCAGTGCTGGGATTACAGGGGTGCTCCACCACGCCCTGCTGATTTTTTTCCTTAATGATCAGATTTTATCTACACTTCTATGTCAGCAGGGTATAATAAGGTGCACACTGTAAGTGCTCAATAAACACTGATAAAAACACAGCCGGGCATGGTGGCGCACGCCTGTAATCCCAGCACTCAGGAGGCTGAGGCAGGAGGATCGCTGTGAGTTCGAGACCAGCCTGGGCTACATAGAGTTCCAGGTCAGTCTCAACTACATAGTGAGACCCTGTCTCAAAAAACAAAAACAAAAACACCCTGATTAAAACACAAAGGAATAAACACCTGGGAAGAATGAATCGACCATCCACCACGACCAAGTACCTAAGGAACTACATTTCCCAGCTGGGAGTGGCAGTGCACATCTGTAATCCCAGCTACTCAGAAGGCTACTGGAGGTTACAGGAGGCTCCCCAGTACGGTACCACACAAAAAAAGAACTATATTTCCCAGAATGCATGGTGCGACGAGTCACGCATTTAAAAAGACGACCGTTGTTGTTCCCACAGTCCCTTGTCGCTCTACCGCTGACTATTTCGCAGTGTCTTATGGGAAAGGTAGTACTCATGCTTCTCGGCGGGCCCCTACCGAACAGAGCGCAAACTAAACTTCCCAGCAAGTAGCGTGCCAGCCTGGGAACGGGGGCAAGATGGCGGACACCGAAGATAGTGCTTCGGAGCCCGTTGCCCTTTCTGCAGCCCCAATTTCATTCGGCTTCACTCGCACCTCAGTCCGAAGGCGGCTGGCGGATCCGGGAGACGGCGCGGGGTCGGCCCCAGAGGAGAAGGATTTCTTGAAGACCGTGGAAGGAAGAGAGCTCCAGAGGTGAAGTGCCAGGTCTTTCACGCGTTGGAGTTCGGTGCGGTGGGCTCAAGCGGACGGGTGGAATCTTGAGTTGTTTGTGTGGGTGACAGTAACCGGGAAACCCTGAAACAACCTGAGGAGATTTATGGTGGTGAAAAAGGAGTTTGTAGGTGAATCAGGGAAATTGGGCCTGATGGCTGTGGGGATTGAGAAGAGGAGGTATTCTTTTCTTTTTCCTTTTTCCTTTTTCCTTTTTTATTTTTTTGGAGACAGTCTCACAGTGTAGTCCAGGCTGACCTTGAACTTCCTAGGTAGCCCAGGCTAGCCTCGAATTCACGACAATCCTCCTGCCTCAGACTCCCAGAGTGAATATATTCTTTAAGAGGAGAGCCTTTAGGACATGGGGACACTGAGGTGTATGTCTTCTGAGAAAAGGAGAGGAGAATGACAGGACTCCTCTTGTCTCACCTGAAATGATGGGGCTTCTCATGGAGAACGGGCTGGAGCTGCAGATTCAGGTGGAGGGAGACTGTCATCAGCTTAATTAGTAAAGGGGAATCTGCTGGCCCGCGGGTGGGTGTGTGTATGTGTGTGGGGGATATTTCCAGGAGAGAATCAGTCATCCAGAAGGCTAGTCTGAAGTCAGAAGCTGGGGAAAGTCTGGGCTGAAGGTGGTGATTTGTGGACCACTGTGCACTAGAGTCTATCTAGGAATGATTCCTAGAAGACACTAACATTTAAGGGAGGAAGGGAGAATGTACCATCAGAGACATAACAAAAAATCCAGACTGCAGAATGGACTGTATGGTCCATAGGACCAAGAGTGAGTTTGGTTCTTGTGTTTTCTTCAAATGAAGGAATGTGGCTCAGAGCCTACTGACCCTTGCTACTCTTCTCCCCTAATCGTGTCCCTCTTGTGTCCACATCAGTGTGAAGCCCTTAGAAGCGCCTAAGGAACTGGTCATCCCGTTGATTCAGAATGGCTGTCTCAGGCAGCCCTTGGTCCAGACTCCTGTGCCATCCGCAGAGGCCTTGGCAGATGGGGTGCTGTCCCAGGCTGTGAAGGAGCTTATTGAGGGTATGTGATTTCCCATTTGTCCTGCCCCAGTGAGGGAAGAAAGGGAAGTATGTAAAAGGATGGGATTGGACCTCATTGTTCCCTCTCATTCTTCCTTAGAATCCAAGAAATCTCTGGAGGAGAGAGAGAACTCGGGTGTTGACCCCACGCTCGCTATCCCCATGATTCAGCAAGGATGCACCCCCACTGGAGAAGGGGCAGACAGCAAACCCCAGGCTGAGACAGTGAGCTGTTCTCTTGCCTCCCTCCTGTACCAGCCTGTCTTGTGTCTGCCAGGCTTGCCTGCCTGCACACAGTAGGGAAAGTCTACGTCTGAGATGCCTGCTATCCATCCCTTCTTCCCTCCTCTTTGGAAGCCTTAGTGACTAAATACCAGCATGTGGGAAAACGTACTTAATCCCCAGAGTATCTGAATAAATTGAAAAACAAAGCAAAGTGAACAAGGAAATGCAAAGGACATAACGGTGCACAGTGCCTGGAGTGGTTTTTGTTGGTTTGTCTTTCCTTTCCTTTCCTTTTCCTTCCTTTTATATACTTATTTATTTATGTATTTATTTATTTTTGGCCTGGAGTGCTTGAGGAACACCGAGGAGACCAAAGTGGCTGGAGTGAAATGAGTGAATGGGAGAGACAGTAAATGAAGGCAGAGGGGCTGTGGGCCACGGCTTTTACTCTTAGGTAAGCTGAGAGCCAAGGTGGCCCTGCGTAGTCAAGGACTGTTACTTAGGATTTAACAGAATCCCGTGCCTGCATGAGCAGAACTGACCAGGGAGTAAGAGTGGATGAAAGGGGTCCGGAAGCCCAGGCTAAAAATGATGCAGACTCAGGTCAGAGTGGTTGGAAGATAGGAAGGTTTAGTGAGAGAGGGAGGAGCACGGTGAGTGCTCAGATTGGCAGCAATAGCCCAGGCAGTGGCACAGGGACAGCAGATCACTGTGATGTATGCCGTTCAGTGAGGTAACTCAGTGTGTGTCTAGTGAGATTGTAAAGGATCGAAGAGATGGTGATCGGAGCTGACAGCATGAGAGCTGAAAGTGTTTCCAGGCAGATGACCAAAGTCTGTCTTTCAAGCCCATTGACCCATCTTTTCACCTCTTCATAAACTTTTTGCAATATCCCTTTGGGATCTCAACTATCATGCTCTCTCTTTTTTCTTTCCTTTATTTTTTTGTACTGAGATTGAACCCAAAGCCTTTGTACTGAGCTGTATCCCCAGCCAATTTTACATATTTTTAATTTAATTTTTTGGGTTTTTTGGTGGTTTTGTTTTGTTTCTGTGTTTGTTTTTGAGACAGGGTCTCACTAAGTAGTTCAGGCTGGCCTTGAACTCACAGCGTTCCTCCTGCCTCAGCCTCCCAGAATGCTGGGAGATTAGGTGTGTATCACTACACCCAACCTGTTCTGCTTTCTTTCATTTTGTTTGTTTGTTTGTTTGTTTGTTTGTACCGGGGATGGACCTTGCACTTAGTTGAGCTAAATCCCTGGCCCTGTTTGTTTTTGAGATAGGATGTTTTTATGTAGTTCAGACTGGCCTTCAACTCACTATGTAGACCAAGCTGTCCTCAAACTCCTGGGCCATGTGATCCTCCTGCCTCAACCTCCCAAGTAGCTGGGACTACAGGTGCACACAACCACGACTAGCTTTGTTTTTCTTCTCTTATAAATGATACTCAGGATTGAACACAGGGTCTTCACACTGAGCTATATCCCCAGCTACCACCACTCCCCTTTGTGATGAGGTCTCCCTAAGTTGCACAGGCTAGGCTGGAACTTGGCATCCTACTGCCTCAGCCTCCCAAGAGTGCTAGGATTACAGGTGTGTTGTGTACCACCATGCCTAGCTTCAACTGTATTTTTTAATTTATCACCACCTGATACATCACATTTTCAGAATTTGGTTTATTGTGTATCTTGAACATAGCTTCCCATGGGAGAGGTTTCTGTCTCTATCTGATCACTGCTTTATCCTCAGCCCCTAGAACAGTACTTGCCACAGAACAGATGCTTTGTAACTGTTTGCCGAAGGACTGATGGTAGAGGAGTAAAGTAAGGCATGGTGAGAGGAAATCAGCTCCCCTTTGAGCTGCTTGGCTGAGGGCCAGAAGGATAGAGGGTCACACCATGGATGATATTGGGTGTACTCCTGATAGAGGGCCGGAAATCAGCAAGGCCTGACCCTCCTTTGTCTACTTGTAGGTGCCAGAGGAGGCTGATTACGAGGCTGTTCCTGTGGAGGCCTACGGGCTAGCCATGCTTCGGGGCATGGGCTGGAAACCGGGCGAGGGTATTGGCCGTACTTTCAATCAGTAAGTTCTGGGGCAAGGGTAAGGGGTAGACAGATGGGCTGTGATCAAGACCCCTTTGGTACCACCAACCAGGAGGTAGTGGAGGGGATGTGTACATTATCGCCCTAACCAGTTGGATAGTCTTTTACTATGGTTTCAGACTCGTATTTCCCTTCGAAACTTCTTTTTTTTTTTTGGTTTTTTGAGACAGGGTCTCACTATGTAGTTGAGACTGACCTGGAACTCACTATGTAGCCCAGGCTGGTCTCAAATTCACAGCGATCCTCCTGCCTCAGCCTCCCGAGTGCTGGGATTACAGGCGTGCGCCACCACTCCCGGCTTCCTTCTAAGAGGATCCCATTTATGTAAAGTTTGCCTGTCTGGAGATCAATCAGTTTCCATATCTGAAAAAAAAAAAGGGTAACAGTGCTGACTTCGCTGGGTGTGGTGGTGCACATCTGTAATCCCAGCACTCTGGAGGCTGAGGCAAGAGGATCACTGCAAGTTCGAGGCCAGCTTGGGCTACGTAGTGAGTTCAAGTCCAGCCTGAACTGTATAGGGAGACCCTATCCCAACAAAGCAAAACAAAAAAGATGCTGACTTCACAGGTCTGTTGTAAGAGTTAAATAAAATTATGTTCATGAAGCATGCACAGTAAACACAGACTAAACATTTGTTATTATCGCACAGACTTGTGTTGAAACAGGGTCTCACCTTGTATTTCAGTCTGACCTTGACCTCACTGTGTAGCCCAGGATGGGATAGAACTTCTGATCATCCTGCCTCAGCCTCCCAAGTGCTGAGATTACAGGTGTGCATCATGATGCCCAGCTATCACACAGATTTATAATCCCTTTGCAATTGCAAACTCCAGAGAATCTGAAAAGAAAAAAATTTTTTCAGACATCATTTGGCAGCCATATATGACTAAAATTGGCATTAGGAATTCTATACTCTAGCCAGGTATGATGGCACACGCCTGTAATCCCAGCACTTGGGAGGCTGAGGCAGGAGGATCCTTGTGAGTTCGAGGCCAACCTGGGCTACATAGAGTTCCAGGTCAGTCCCAACTACATAGTGAGACCCTGTCTCAAAAAACTAAAAAAGGGCCGGGGATTTAGCTCAGTGGTTCCACTGCCTGCTTCACAAGCACAAGGACCCAAGTTCGATACCCAGTACCAAAAAAAAAAAAAAAAAGCCGGGCATGGGGGTGCACCCCTGTAATTCCAGCACTTGGGAGGCTGAGGCAGGCGGATCACTTCGAGTTCGAGACCAGCCTGGGCTACATAGTGAGTTCCAGGTCAGTCTCAATTACATAGTGAGACCCTGTCTCAAAAACTTAAAAAAAAAAAAGAAAAGAAAGAATGCTATACTCTTGGGCCTGGGAATTGGCTCAGTGGTTCTACCGCTTGCCTGGCAAGTGCAAGGTCCCGAGTTCAATTCCCATACCAAAGAAAGGGATTTAGCCCGGGATTTAGCTCAGTGGTGCCACCACCTACCTCACAAGCTCAAGGTCCTGAGTTTGATCCCCAGTGCCACCCCACAAAAAAGCTATAGTTTTTTTCAGGAGCACCCAAGGCAAGGCTTTATTGGGAGTGGGGAGTTGTTGGGCTGCCTCAAACAATGGCGAGAGAGCAAGAAAAGCTATACTCTTAAAAAAAAAAAAAAGAATTCTATAATCTTGTCAAGCCTGGTGGCACATGTCTATAATCCCAGCACTTGGGAGGCTGAGGCAGGAGGATTGCCACCTGTTCCAGGCCAACCTGAGCTACATGGTGAGACCCTGCCTCATAAAAAGCTACACACAAAAAAGTGCTATAATCCATTTCCCCTACTTGGTGTGTGTATTCATACAATTTTTCTTGTAGAACTATTAATGTACTATTTGGTTGTAGAGAACTCACTTAGACTCCACTGTAGGTACTGTGGGTAGAGAGTATGTGCACCATGTTATTAGGTTGAACCAAATGAGATTGCTACTCACTGGGGCTGGAGGTGTGGCTCAGTGGTAAAACACTTGCTTACCTTGTGCAAGGCCCTGGGTTCCATCCCCAAGATTGCAAAACATACCCTGATATGAGACTGAAAGGGGCCTCTTTGAAAATGCTGATGGGATGGGTTTGGAGCACGTGGAGGGAATTAGACACTGGAGACTATGGTACCCCGCCCCGTAAACCTATGTTCCTCTCTTCAGGGTGGTGAAGCCCCGTGTAAACTCACTGAGGCCCAAGGGGCTAGGGCTGGGTGCCAACCTGACCAAGGCCCAGGCTTCAGGCTCCAGTGGCTCCTACTGCTCACCAAGGCCAGATGGGGAGCAAGAGAAGGATAAGGAAGACCAGTCGCAAGGGCTGGTGCCTGGAGGAGCTGTGGTGGTCCTTTCTGGCCCTTACCGAGGCCTCTATGGGAAGGTAAGGAACCAAGATGTCCCTGGAGGGCTTAGAATATAGACCACTGGAGCAGCATGCACTCAACTCTGTTTACATCCCAAGCATTGCAAATGGGAAGATCGACTTGAGGGCCAGAGAAAGGAAGAATTGGGTTTAAAGGCTATGAGTCCATCATCTTTCAGACCTGCCTGGCCCACTGCCTCACTAGGTAACCTAAGACCACTGGCTGGGCCTTTCTGAGTCTCAGTTCAAACTCTCCAAAGTGAGAGAATGCCATGTGCCACAAAGTCCCTGAGGATTAAATGCCCAAAGGCATTCGGTAGGCTGAGGCAGGAGGATCGCTGCTAGTTCAACGCCATCCTGAACAACAGTGATACCCTGTCTCAAAAAACTAAAATAAATAAATGCATACAAAGGATGCCTGAGCCCCAGTCCACTGAAGGAGACTCAGGAACCAGGCCAACTACTTTTCAGGGGTCACAGTTTATCAGAGGAAACAGGAGCCAGGTCTAGTCTAAGCCATCAGGGGTCACAGTCTGATTGGAGAAATACACAGGGGTGAACAGCTTGGTTCTAGAAAGGCAGTGGACTCCTCTCAAGCCCCTCCTTGTCCCCTTCACACAGGTGGAAGGCCTTGATCCTGACAATGTGCGAGCTATTGTTCGTCTAGCAGTGGGCAGTCGCATGGTGACTGTTAGCGAGTACTGTCTGCAACCTGTGTCCCAGCAGGAGTTTGACAAGAACTCCTTGCATGCTGGTGAGTGAGCCTCTTACATAGCTTGGGAGTTGGGGAAGCATTGATGACCTGTCCCAGGTGGATTTTCCATCTACGGGGGCAGGGGCGAGGGGCGAGGGGCTGCTGGCAAGTGTGACTTTCAGACAAGGTCAGGAGATGAGACGGACCATGAGTAGTTTATCCAGACTTTTTGTCTGTTTGGCAGTGCTAAGGATGGAAGCCAGGGCCTTGCACATGCTAAATGGGTACTCTACCACCAAGCCATCCCTAGCCCAGTTATTCAGTTTGACTGAAGAAAGGGTAATCTATACTCTTGGAGTTTTAGCCTTTCTTTAAGGAGGAGAATCGGGTGTAGAAAGCAGTTGATGCCCCCAGGAGGTCTTTGTCTCTTTAGGGTGACAGCCTCCCTTTTTCAAGAGAGTAAGACCTAAGGGATGAGTGAGGAGGTGGCAGGCAGTGTAGCCCAGGTGAGGGTATGGCAGTAGGAAAGGTGATGGGTGACTGGGTACAGACATTTCACCAGGCTTTGTAGTACATGTTAGGTTGCGTAGCTTGGAGAGGCATCCTGAAGGGTCATGGAACAGTGGAAAGGAAGGGGGGAGGCATTCTCATAACCCTGACAAAGGCAAAAAGATGAGAAGGGGCACACTGGCAGGTGGGAGACCGGCTACGCTGAGCTGTAGCCTTGGAAAGTGAGACACTAGGGCTCTTTTCCCACTCTTCCTGTATCACTGAACAGGCCAGGTGAGTGGAACTTCCTCAGGGCAACACAGTGGAGCATCTTCATCATGGAAGGCCCTCCAGAGTGAAGACCTCCGTGGCCGGTGGGAAGACTCAGAGAGGAAGCGGAAACACCCTCCAGACCGGTGGGACCCTGGGCATCTGGGATGGGAAAGAAGGCAAGGGCATGGAGAGGCTCCCAGAAAAAGGGACTAGGAACAAATCTGGGTGGATTTCACAGCACAGGCAAAGGCAGGACAGCCAGAACATGTGTGTGCTAAAAGCACTGAGCCTAGTGTTGGCGCCTTCTCCACAGACAGGATGGGCCTGTGGTCAAGAGTGAGAAAGCAGCCACCAGGCGTCAGCATTGGCTGCACAGAGACCTGCGTGTGCGCTTTGTGGACAAGCTGCACAAGGGCGGCCAGTATTACAACACCAAGGTATGAACCCATAGCCTGAGGGACCTACCACACCTAGGATTGGGCCTCTGACTCTCTAATCTCTCATGCCCCTCACCTGTCCCTCCAGATGACAATTGAAGATGTCCTGAGCCCTGACACGTGTGTGTGCCGGACAGATGAAGGCCAAGTCCTGGAAGGTGAGCTTGAGCCATGGCAGCTGGTCCACTGTCATCCCACAGGCTGATGGAGGAGGGGATCTGAGGCCAGGAGCCTGGCCTGGGCAAGGCTGGGAGGTCAGGCAGAGTTCAGTTTCTCTGCAAGGCCCAGCATCCTTGCACATTACATTAGACACTTCCATGGCAGATTAGCGTGGACCTGACTTCTCCCCACAGTGACTGACGCCTGATAAGAGCGTGAGGAGCTCCAGGGCAGGGTGGGGCTCACCTAGAAGTGCTCCCTGGAATGCTCTTCTTTCTGTGCACTGTGTCCTAGGCTTCTGCGCCCCAGAAATTGATGTGGTGGAACTCCATCTGTCACCAGTGTGAGGGTGGCTCTAGGGAATATGGCAAAGACCCTTCACACAGGCTCGGGCTGGACACTCTACTGTGGGCCTCACTCCCCTCCCTGTTCTGCAGGCCTGAGGGAAGACATGCTGGAGACCCTGATTCCCAAGGTTGAGGGCGATCGCGTGATGGTGGTGCTGGGGTCACAGGCTGGAAGGGTGAGTCTCGCTTCTGGAAATGGAGGCTTAGAGGGGTCACACAAGCAATGTCCCGGGTCTGGGCTGGCCTGGCTGACTCCGCCCCACCCCTGCTCCAGGTGGGCCATCTGCTGGGCCGGGACAGAGCCCGGAGTCGGGCTTTGGTGCAGCTGCAGAGAGAGAATCAGTTGGTGGAGCTTCACTATGACGCCATCTGCCAGTACATGGGCCCCAGTGACTTGGATGAAGACTGACTGTGGGACACTGCTGTCCTGCAGGCCCTTGCCAGTTCCATACCACCTAAGAGAAGACAAATGCTTAGTCCTGCAGTGCAGGACAGGGTGGATGGATGGATGGATGGATGGATGGACCAGAAGGAAACTAGAACCAAATCCAGTGTTTACTAGAATTGAGTGTATAATAAAAACCATTTGAAGTACTCAGTAGGACAAACACGTAAGTGGTGTGCTGAGCTGTGCCTTAAGATGGGAGCCAAGTCAACTGAGGCAGGAACTGTTTGATTTGTCAGCCTCCCCTCCCTGCCCACGGTGCAAACAGATTAAATAGCCTACTCTATTGGAAGCTCACTCTTAGCAAACAGAACTGGTAATGAAATGTGCCCTGAGCAGACACCATGGAATCTGATTTCCACGTCTCCAAGTAGCTCTCCAGGTACCATCGTTTGGTTGTTAAATGTCCCCAGAGGCCCATGCATTGAAGGCTTGATCCTTGGAGTGGAGCTATTGGGAGATGCTGTGGTTGCCTTTAGACCAGTGATGGCGAACCTTTTAGAGACTGAGTGCCCAAACTATAACATAAAAATCAACAGGGGAGCCAGGCGTGGTGGCACACCCCTGTAATCCCAACACTCAGGAGGCTGAGGCAGGGAGTTTGAGGTCAGCCTGGGTTATAGTGAAACCCTCAAAAAAGAAAAAAAAATCAAGGATAATGAGAGTGTGAGATACATTTTTTTTCTTTTTGGTTATTTGAGACAGGGTCTGACACTGTAGTTCACGCTGGCCTCAAACTCGCAGCAGTCCTCCTGCCTCATCCTACTGAGTATTAGGTTTACAGGCATGTGCCACCATGTGGAGTAAGAGCTTTAGATACAATTGTTTCTAAACTATCGTGAAATTATTGATATAACTGGTGTTTTGTTTGTTTGTTCAGTTTTTGGAGACAGGGTCTCACCATGTAGCCTAGGCTGGCCTCAAACTTGATCCTCCTGCCTGAGTCCTCCTGAGTGGTGGGACTATAACACCAGACTAATAACTAGTATTTGATTTAGATCTAGGCCATTGATTAAAAATGCTGCATGTCAATACATGGCAAACACTGAAGAACTCAAACACCCTAGGACATGATAATAAAGGTTAAATCAGGTCTGGCAGTGCAGTTCAGTGGTAGAGCACTTGCCTAACATTTGCAAGGCCCTGGATTCCATCTCTAGCACCACAAGAAACAATTTTTAAGAAGGACAAATTGCAAAAGCAGGGCGTGGTGGTGCATGTCTATAATCCCAGCACTCTGCAGGCTGAGGCAGGAGGATCGCAGGGAGACCAGCGTGGGTTCCACAGTTCCAGGGCAGTCTCAACTACATAGTGAGACCCTGTCTCAAAAAACAAAAACAAATAATAATAACAAATTGCAAGCCAGGTGTGGTGGCATACACCTGTGATCCCACAAAACAGAGGAGGCTGAGGCAGGAGGCAAGTTCAAGGCCAGCCTGTACTATATAATGAGTTCAAGACCACCATGAATTACTGAGCAATACCCTGTCTCAAAACAAAGCCAGGTGTGGTGGCACGCACCTATAATCCGAGCACTTAGTAGGCTAAGGCAGGAGGATCACAAGTTTAAGCACAATTTGGCCTACAGCGTGAACCCTATCTCAAGAGAAAAAGACCTCATAATAACCACAATGTGAGTTTCATTTGTCACAGACCAGTTTAATTTGTCATCCGTACTTAATTCCAGAATTGATGTGTGTCAAGATTGGCCAAACAGTTTTGCTAGGGCAGATGGTGGGGAACAGAGCCTGCCTCCCTAGTCCTTCCTGTGTTCTGATCCATTGGAATCACACATCCTCCTCTAGAATCCCAGGATGTTTTCCTTTATTGTGTTTATGGCCCTGGGAATTGAACCCGGGGCCTTTGTACTGAACTACATCCCCAGCTTCTTTTTTTATATATATAATTTTATTTTTTATTTTGAAACAGTCCTGTGAAGTCACTTAAGTTGCCCAGGCTGGGCTCAAATTTGTGATCTTCCTGCTTCAGCCTATCAGAATGTTGGGATTATGGACATATCCCACCATGTCTGGCTTTTCCAGGGGGAGGGAGTGATATTTGTTTTGTCCTTTTTTTGGTACCAGGCATCAAACTCGACGTCTTGTTTTTTGAGACGGGATTTCATTATGTTGCCTAAGACTGGCTTTGAACTCCTGGTGTCAATTGATCATCCTGCCTCAGTCTCCCTAATAGCTAAGAGTCACTATAGGCCCTGGTTTTTTTCCCCCCATTAAGTTTATTGGTGCTTTTTAGGTATACAGTACAGTTAAATTTATCATTGGGATCTTACCCTTACAGGATGTACCTTAGTTCTTATTTTTCCCCATTCCTCTGCCCTCCCTTCACCCCCTCCACCCTTCCATATTTACAAAGACTTTGTTTCCGTTTTTTCCTCATATTTTTTCTTTTCTCTTCTTTCCTTTTCCCTACCCTTCCCACTTCCCCTACTCTAAACCTCTTCTTCCTATTTCACATTATCAATTATACAATTTGAACTTTATTTACACTTTTAGATTTTCACACTAGAGAAACTATTCGGTATTTACACACGTTTCCTGTTTATTTCCCTAAGAGTATGGTCTCAATGTGCATCCACTTAACATAAATGTCTCTAGTTTCTCACTCATGGCTGAATATTACTTCATTTTATCACACACACACACACACATCTTTATCCAGTCTCCAGTTGATGGACAGTTGAGCTGTTTCCAAGTTTTAGCTATTACAAACTGTGCCGCTATAAACATGGGTGCACATATATCACTGTGATATGATTCTTTTAGTTCTTTTGGAAAGATACCCAGCAGAGGGATGGCTGGGTCAAATGGGACCTCTAATCCTAGTCTGTTTGATTTTTGGTACCAGGGATCAAACTCGAGACCTTGTGCTTGCAAGGCAGGTGGCAGCACCACTGAGCTAAATCCCCAGCCCTCTAATCCTAGTTTTGTGAGGTATCTCCATATTGATTGCCCCAGTTTGCATTCCTCCAACAGTGGAGAAGGGTTCCTTTCTCCCCACAACCCTGCCAACATTTGTTGTTGTTTGATTTCTTGATAGCAGCTACTCTTTGTGGGGTGAGGTGGAATCTCAGTGTTTGCATCTGCATCTCTCAAATGACCAGTGATGTTGAGCACTTTTTCATATATTTATTTGCTGCTTTTAGTTGTTGGTCTGATAAATGTCTGTTTATTTTAGATGCCCATTTTTAATTGGGTCTTTATATTTGGGGGGGTCTGATTTTTTTTGAGTTCTTTATACTTTTTTTTTTGGTACTGGGGATCGAACTTGGGACTTTGCGCTTGCTAGGCAGGTGGCGGAACCACTGAGCTAAATCCCTGGCCCCCTTTTTTTTTGTAGCTGCGATCAAACTCAGGACCTTGCACTTGTGAGGCAGATACAGTGCCACTAAGCTAAATCCCTGGCCCCATATATTCTAGATACTAGACCTTTATCTGAGGAACAGCTAGTAAAAATTTTTTCCCACAGGTTGTCTCTTAGCTCTGTTGGTTTTTCTTGCAGTGCAGAAGCTTTCTAAAAAGATGAGATCCTGGGCTGGGTATTTAGCTCAGTGGTTCCCCTGCCTGCCTCGCAAGCTCAAGGACCCGAGTTCGATCCCCAGTACAAAAATAAATAAATAAAAAGATGAGATCCCAGTTGTTGGTTCTTTGTGCTAGTTCCTGTGCTACTGAGGATTTGTTCATAAAGTCTTTTCCTATGCCAATGTCTTCAAGAGTTCTACCTGTTATCTTCCAGCAAGTTTAGTGTTTAGTGTTGCTGTTTTAATTAGATCTTTAATCCATTTCAATTTTAATTTAGTGCATGGTGAAAGATAAGGGTCTAGTTTTAGATCCCAGTTGTTGGTTCTTTGTGCTAGTTCCTGTGCTACTGAGGATTTGTTCATAAAGTCTTTTCCTATGCCAATGTCTTCAAGAGTTCTACCTGTTATCTTCCAGCAAGTTTAGTGTTTAGTGTTGCTGTTTTAATTAGATCTTTAATCCATTTCAATTTTAATTTAGTGCATGGTGAAAGATAAGGGTCTAGTTTTAATCTTTGGCAGGTGTAAAAATCGGGTCTGCTGCTTTGCCAGTACCATGGTGTTTTTATCACAGTGACTTTGTAGTATAGTTTCAAGTTGGGGATTATGATACCCTCTGCCATGTCTCTGTTGCCAAGAATGGCTTTTGCTATTTTAGGTCTCTTTTGGCTTCAAATGAATTTTTGGATTGTTTTCTCTAGTTCTGTGAAATATACTGTTGGGATTTTGATCAGGATTGCATTGAATCAGTATAGCAGTTTTGGAAGTATGGCCATTTTCACTATATTGGTTCTTTCTACCCAGGGGCAAGGGATAACTTTCTATTTTCTTATATCTTCTTCAATCTCTTTTCAGAGTGCTGTAGTTTTCAGTGTAGAGGTCTTTTGTTTTCTTCGTTAGATTGATTCTGAGATATTTCATTTTTTTGGGTGCTATCATGAAAGCGATTGTTTCCTTAATTTGATTCTCAACGGGACTGTTGTTTATGTACAAGAAGACTATTGATTTGGTTTTTCGGAGACACCATGTAGTTGAGATACCTGGAACTCACTATGTAACCCAGGCTGGTCTCGAAGGCACAATGATCCTCCTGCCTCAGCCTCCCAAGTGCTGGGATTACATGCGTGAATTGATTTGAGTATTTACTTTGTATCCAGCTACTCTATTGAATTTTTTTTCTCATTTTTCCCCTTGTCCCCACCCTCCCTTCACCCTCCCCTCCCCTCCCCACTTCAAGCACTTTAATTCAATTTTTACATTTTCTCATATTACTCTATTGAATTTGACAATCAAGGCTAGAAGTCTTTTGGTGGAGTTCTTTGGGTCTTCTATGTAGAGGACCATATCATCAGCAAATAATGACAGTTTCACTTCTTCCTTTCCTGTCTTTATTGCTTTTATTTCTTTCTCTTGTCTAATTGCTGTGGCTAATGTTTACAAAACTATACTGAACAGGAGTGGTGACAGTGGACGTCCTTGTCTTGTTCCTGATTTTAGCGTGAAGGTTTTTGGTTTTTGACCATTTAGTATGGTGTTGGCTGTTGGTTTTTCATAGATAGCCTTTACCAAGTTGAGATAAAGACCATCTATTCCAATTTTCTGCAGGGTTTCTTTTATCATGAATGGGTGTTAAATTTTGTTGAATGCTTTTTTCTGCATCTGTTGAGAGGATCATATGGTTTTTGTCCTTGACTCTGTTAATATAGTGTATTACATTTATTGATTTACGTATGTTGAGCCATTCCTGCATCCCTGGGATAAATCTGAGTTGGTCAGGGTGTATGATCTTCTTGATGACCCTCTGCATTCTGTTTGCCAGTATCTTATTGAGGATTTTTGCATCTATGCTCATTAGGGAGATTTAGGTCCTGTTTTTTGTTTTTGTTTTTTGTTTGTGTGTGTGTGTGTATGTGTGTGTGCAGTACTGGGGATCAAACTCAGGACCTTGTGCTTGCAAGGCAGGTGCAGTGACACTGAGCTATATACCTTACCCCCT